TGTTAGTATTATTACTGTTGTTATTGCTGTTAACGTTGTTGCCGCTGTTAATGCTGTTACTGTTATTGCTGTTGTTATTACTGTTAGTATTGTTGCTGTCGTCCTGGAGTGTGTGTATGTGGGTGTGTGTTGACTGCGACTGATGAGTGTGTGTGTTCTGGCTGCGTCGTGCTCCCTGTTCAAAACAACAGAAATGCCACTCACCGCCAAGAGAAGATAGTCGCACGCGCGCACAAACCCGCGTCACCTCGCCGGTTGCCCACGTGCACCGGTGCCGGCCTCGCTTCACTCGCGGTATCACCTTCTCACACACAGAAAACAAACGTCAATTACTATTCCTCGCACCGGGCACGTATCCTTAACTAAAAATCACAGCGAGGGCGCGGGAACTTAACCGATGAAAACTAACAAAGTCCAGGGAAAAACTTGTGCGCGCGGCCGTCTGCTTCGCTGTCCAGCTGCTACTGCTGATTTTCTCTCTCTCGGCCAGCGAGATGCGCGCGCAGGTCTGCCGGCGACTCGCTGGTTCTCTCCGATCTTCTGTCTCCCTCTCACTGTCGTCTACTCGTCAGCTCCCTCCAATCGCCGTCGCACCTCAAGAAAGGCAACAAAAGAGATAGCTGATGACAGTGTGCTCAACCAGCGCACACTCTCAGCTCGGCAAGGCGCACGGGCATTTGCGAGAGTTCGACGGAGAGCAACGGCCGAGCCGTGATTCTCCGTTACAACTTATATAAAAGTAAGTGTTACAATAATAACAGGTTTAATTCACCAATCATATATTAACTTTTCATTAAGTTAACATTTAGAGGACGGGAAAACTCACATATTGACGTAAAACAAAGGTTCTTGATATTGGATTTAACATTAATTTTGAGGGTTTTTAAGGTTACTGATTACGAATCTCATATGAAATTTTTAAATTCAAAATGACTGATCCAACATGGTGGATCCAACATAACAGAAAAGTAAAAAACACGTAACAATAATTTTTAATTTACTTGAAATCAAACTGAAAAATGTATGTGTTACTTTTTTGGATGGCTAGTGAGTGATCTTAGGTCGATTTGCAAAATTCAAAATGATTGATTGGCAAAATTCGAAAGGGATATAAAAACATGAATAATCCTGGAAGCTCTTTTTTAGTGTAACCTAGAACTAACGTCATGGACGTAGAGATAGTGTAGTTTCTTTTAATTTGTTTTTTTTGTTCTTTTTTATTTTTTTTATCATCTTCAATCAAAGGCGTCCATGACTTCTGCTTTTTATATTGCGGTAGACTATTTTGTTCCCGATAAAGATTAGTTTGACTTATAATAATATTTACTAAAGATCAATCAAAGTTTTTTTTATTTCCAATTTTATTTACAATCTGTCTGTCGACAATAAGTAAGTGATATTATAACAATACTATTTTTGATTACAAAAATTACAACAAGAACAATTAGGATATTCTGTTAGTTGTATAGAAATTTCTGTTTCTTCTATTTCATTTCTAATAAACCGTTATGTATGCGTGATGAATCTTAAAGCTTTATTTTGGAATCAAAGTAATATTCAAAATAATCACATAAATTAGAAATATCCAAAGAAATATTTTCAGGAAATCATACTTCTCCAGAAAAAGCTTTCATATATTGAAAAAATACATTATCGTAAATAATGTCATCTCCTGGTTCATATTCACTATCATCTATATCATTGACAGCATGATCAGAGGTACCAGTCATATCATCCTTGATTGCTTCTTCAGGTTCAGACTCACCACTGCTTAAGCTTTGTCTTGGATATTACTCATCATTATAAAAAATAATATTTTTAGTTATTAAAGAAAAACTAAAAATGTCCAATTACACAGGTATTCAAGATTTTATATCACAAGCGAGTTATAGTATTTCCGAACCATTTTGGTACGCTAGATCTAAATATGTCCTCAAAATTGTTCCATCACGTCAACTTTTTAGACATCCTAACCCTAATAGTGTAAAAAACATTGTTTTTGACATATTTGAGATTATGTAGCATCGTAAATAAATTTTTTCACAAAAAACTATTTGAAGCATCTTAAAGTGTAAATCATCTCCTTTTAAATGCCGTTGAGTTTGCCTAAATATCTTTTTTTTCACCAAAATATCGCATTTTGAAATTTTTATATTTATTAATTTCTTAAAATTCGAAAATTCATTAACCCTTTGTTGCATGAATTTTTCTGTTCAGTAAATTTACTCGAACATTATTACTCGGGGGGTTATTGCAGTCGCTGATCACAAATCTGAAGTCAACGCATAAGCACGCATATAGAGACGCACATGGACGCATTTTTTCAAATTTCTAACAGCATAGATCGAAAGTTCAGCCAATTTTACGTTAGAAATGTCTATTCCTGATAAAACATCAATTAAAAAGAGTAAAAGAAAATCGTCTATTTAGGACTTAATGGGTTAATGGATTTTCAAATTTTGAAAAATTCATAAAAATGAAAATTTCAAAATGCGATATTTTTATGAAAAAAAAGATATTAAAGTAAACTCGACGGCATTTTGAAGGGAAAGATTTGTACTTTAAGATGCATTGAATAGTTTTCTATGATAAAATTTATTTACGATGCTACATAACCTGATATATGTCAAAAAAACAGTGCTTTTTGCACTTTCAGGTTATGATATCTCAAAAACCTGACGTGATGGAACAATTTTAAGGCCAAATTTGGATTCAGCGCTCAAAAATCCTCCGGAAATACTATAGCTAGCTTGTGATAACGAAAATGACCTATTATTGGTATCCCTACGGTATTGCTCGACGCGCGATCTCTCTTTCCGGTCTGTACGTAATACCTTGACTACATAAATGTCGTCCTCTTGTTATCGCTGGCCCGAATCCGGGTAAATGGTTGTCCTTAATCAGTTCCTCTCGTGACAAGCCTCGGTATTTGTTATAGAACAAGTACAGTAAAAATATAAAAACTGTAAAGGAAAATTGTCCCTATAGTACTTAATAGGTTAATGGATTTTCGAATTTTAAGAAATTCATAAATATGAAAATTTCATAATGCGATATCTTAGTGAAAAAGAAGATATTTAGGCAAACCCAACGGAATTTTAAAAGGGAAGATTTATACTTTGAGATGCTTTTAATAGTTTTCTTTGATAAAATTTATTTACGTTGCTAAATAACCTTAAATATGTCAAAAACCAGTGGTTTTTGCAATTTTAGATTAGGATATATCAAAAACCTGACGTAATAGAATAATTCTGAGGCCAAATTTGGATTCAGCGCACCAAAATCCTTCGGAAATACCATAGCTTGCTTGTGATACAGAAAATGACCTGTTATTTGTAGACCTGTGTTATTATACTTTTATGGGTAAAGTAAAAAATATGCACACAAAAGTATTCTTTTAGATATTATAAGTAATGTCTAATAGACTCTTAGTAAAATAAGATTAAATTTGTTTCGTCTGACGCAAAAATGTATGCTATTTATATACTTATAAGTAAATAATTCGAAAAGTTTAAATTGAAAACTCAATATAAAATTTTTACAAAGTGATTTACGAATCGATTTATAATAATAGCTTTAGAATAACTAATATAATAAAATTTATTTCGCTAAAGCTATTGAATTACGAAAAACATTGTTTTTATTTTCTCGTAGAATTGAAGAATATCATCTATAACAAGTCAAAATAAATTTGAAAAATAAAAATTTCTGTTATAAGAAATCAAACTTCCAAAATATGACCTTAAATTCTAGTTCATTCATTTTAAAAACTCCGAAGTAACATTTCCATCAAATACTGTGATCATAATAAATTAGGCGATTTTGAGGTATGCGGGAGCAGAGGTAGAAAAGTCAGAGATCGGTTCAATGTGATCGTGATCGACACTTTACTCACGATCAATCCATGATATTGTAATAGGGTTTTCCTTCCCCGTGTATGAAAATAAAAAGGGAACTCGAGAGGAAAGAGTATATGGTTCAGCTGCTCGTGGCGGACTTCTTGTGAGCTACACGAAGCTCGACTCGGTTATCCGGTATACCGTACGTATATGTACTTGTACACGCTGGCCCGCGGAAAGCATCGTAAATAGATGATGGCGTAGCTAAGAAAGTTAATAAGCTTGAGTAATGCCAGAGAATGCACTAGGAAAGGAGGCAGAGTTAGGTGTTAAATAAAAAAGAGAGCAATTAGAAAGCAAGCATTTATATAAAGGAAAAGTAGTATAATCGATTACAGATTAAGCAAGCGCAGAGAGAAGTTTTCGAGCAGGAGTGTGAATAAGCGAAAGAGATTATTAAGGAGCCGATACTTACAGTGGTAACGACGATACAATCTTAATGAAAGAACAGTAAATAAATCGCCGGTGGTATGCTTCGTAGCTTCTAATAGCTTTTCAATGTAGCGAAAATGAAACTTGAAAGGAAAGCAGTCAAAGGACTAGTTGTTTCGATGCATCTCCCACAAAGGTCGGCTACTAATTGATTAACTTTGTTGTACACTCTGCCGCTCTCCTATTTCCAAAATCGTCATCTGCTGTCAAGCAGATACACATACGGGCGCGTGGCTCTTGCTTAGTAGCATTCTCTCTCGCAATTACGTTGCTGCAGTAGCTATAATTCAAATACATTGAAATAACTGTACATATAAATAAATGTATAAATTAATAAAGCATGCTTCTTGGGAGAGAAATTCATTATAATATAAAATACCTTTTATATGCATTTCCTTAGGCAGATAACGCGCACCCAATCTCTGTCTTCTAAAATTTAAAAACTCGAAAATGTTACCATTTTAATCATAGTTATACTTGATTTTTAAGGTTAATAAGATATATATTCAACTTCTGATATTCTGTAATCCAAAAATATGGTACAATGTTTATGTTTCATGAAATAAAGAAGATCTTAATATATTAATATAACTATTTATGATGACTTCTGTAGAGTAATTATTACTTAATTTTGTATTTTAATTTAATTTTCCTTAATATAAATTTTAGCTGGCCAATTTCAGAAAATTTTTTATTTCCTGAGTGGCTTCTAGCTAATTGTCAGTTTTTAGTGATCCAGGAATATGTTCGTCTTCTAAACGGATGGTGTGCATTAAATAGTGCTTCACGAAAATTTATTCTTGCGATAAGCTTATTAGAAATGGGAGAGTCATATAAAGCTAGTGATAATTTTTTACGGGCTTCGAATGGAGTAATGACCGATTCGTATATGTCAAATCTATTTCAAATGGAAAACTTTTCAAAAAGTAAAACAATTGTAAAATATTATTTAAAAGTAATTGAATTGTTCGAACAACATAATGCGCAAGACATTATAATAGAACTAGCAATCACTGCTATTACAGTAGCAAACAAAGATGATTCCAATTTACCTACACTTCATTCTATAGTTTTTACACAACATCTAAATTTAGAACATCACATTGAGGCATATAATTGTTTAAATATAAATCCAGATGGTGCACGTCGTATTGATTGTTTGAGACAACTTATAGTGGTATTATTTAACCGAAAAAAATTGAAAGATCTTATATCATTTCCTTATATAGATATGTACCAAGATCTTGAAAAAATTATGGAAACTCGAGCTCGAAGTATTGATTTAATGGAAAATAATTATTACAATTTTTTATACAGTTTTCATATTAACAAAGGAAATATGAGAAAAGCGGCGTCTGTGATGTATGAACAAGCTATGCGGCTTAGTCAGGAACCATATTCTTGGTCAACAATTTCACAACAAGTGCACTGTCTTTTAGCATGCATCAATGTACTGCGACTTGTACATAAAAAATTTAGATGGATTGTACGGCCAGTTATTGACCATAGCAGTATTGATGATTATCCAAATAAACGAAAAAAAAGGAATTCAAATGGCCATGAAATATTGCAATGTAATTATAGTAAACGAATAGAAGTGCTCGAATTAGAAGACATCAAAAGAGAATATGCTCTAGCCTCATCTAAATTAAAATTAACAAAAATTGGTCTTAAAGCTAATAATATATCATCTGCTGGTAAGAGAAAATAATTTACTGATGAATTAATATCCTATGCTTTATTCACAAATACATTTTTCAGGTCCATCTGAAATTGCGGCAATATTGTCCAATTACGGATTACATGTAGATGCAGTAGATATCTGTCGATATTTTAAGTTGAGTATAATATCTATATTGGAAAATTTAGTTTCTCATTGTACGAGATTGGATCCCAAAGACCAATTCAAAACATATAGCTGGCTTGATGAAATCCCAGTTGTTGGTACGTTATTTGTTAAACATGTTTATCATTACAAATATATACGATAAAATTATATTCCCTTGACTTATTGGCATTTTTTATTCATATTTTACTGAAAATCTTTATTTTTAATGACTTTTCTAAAACAATATTAACAAAAATCGCTTTTCTGAAAATAACTTTCATAAAACGACATGACTATAATGGGTAAACGTGAGATTTTTAAATACAGATTCTACAATTTTATTTAACATTTAACAATTTTATATAGAATATTAGATTTACGAGTATTAAATTTATTAAATTATGTTTCATTCAATAATACAGAGTTCTTTGTGAGTTATAATACGTATGATAATAATAAACTCTTAAATATATCTGATACATACAATGAGACTTGAAGTTTTTAAATATATTTATATTGATTTTTTAATGTTGGTACATTTTATACTGTTATATGTTGATGAGACTTGTTTCAATGTTCGAGGGGTGTTCGAAAAGTAAGGTGACTTTATGGTTTTCTCAAAAAATATTTATTTATTGGTCGTGCTCTGGACGACTTTCACCTCCACCAGAACCGACGAGCTTCCAGCTCCCTTATCGCGTTCCCAAGACATGGACCAACCTCACCCAGCAACTTCGAGAGCCCTATTATCACACTCGTAAGCTCCTTGAATCTGTCCAGTGCCTCACTCGATAAATCAACCCGCTGCGAAGACTCGCTTGCGGGCGTTGTCTCACACGGCTGACACCTATGGCATTCCTGTCGATTACGTACCTGCAGGTACTCTTCGCCGTCGGCTATCTGCCGGCGGCTCTCGAGTCACCTGGTGACCTCCTGCCAATATTTCTCATCCGTCTCCGTCCCTTTCATTTCCTGGACACTCACCCTTAAGTCGAGTTCGTCGTGCCCAGCGCTGGTAGCCCACCGCGACTAACCCCGGGTCCCCGCTTCCTGCTGACCTGTTTTTCGCCCACCTGTGGACTGGCTTGCAGTTCACGCACGTGATGAATGTGCAATTTGGGGCCTGACACCCCTAACACGACTCGCTTCACCTACCCAGTGGACAAGCCGGGGTATAATATCCCATCTTGCAACACCAAAAGCAGACCGGGCTTCTCTGTGTCTGGTTGCCTATGGCCCTCGCCATGCAACCATAGCATTTTTCCAGAATCGCAGGATAGCTTTGACTTTATATAGTATACTTTTGATAGTATGCTTCGGCAACCGGACAGACAAAAAATCGTCGGGGCACAGAAAAGCGCCCGTCTCCGGCCGCAACGCTAAGCTTCCGAGTAAGGACATGAGGTCGACGGGCAAGTGTAGTTTCGCGATTTACAAAGGCGATACTGCATCGAGGTCGTACCCTATCGAATGTGGCAACAGGGCGAAACGTAAAGTTATATCCAAAATACTTCGGCGCATATAAATTTCTGAAAGTGCTTTCACACGAGGTCTACATTTTGACCAACAAGAAACAAAAAGAAGGTCATTTACGCGACGAAACTGAAGTGAATTGTTTTGTCTAGGAACGTGAGAGGATAGGTGGTCGATCGTATTAGGTTGTTTGATTTCGTCTTCAGATTGTAAAAGCATTGACTACCATACGCCGTGAGACAACTTTTGCCAATTGTTTAATGCTGATGATTTCGGTTAAAAGATCCGGCTCTGTCTCTCACAGAGAACTAATCGTAGTGACTATGAGTAGAGGTGCAGGCAGATAATAACCCACTTGTGGCATAAAATGGTGTTCAGGCTATTCGCTCTAATTCCGGTGACCTTTTTATTTATTTTTTTCATTTTTGGCCATGAATTTCTAATTTGGCCGTTTTCTTGCCAAATTAGTTTGTCAAAAGCATGGAATGTGTGATGTCTCAGTTCAGTAAACAATAAGTATAAATGTTTCGCCATCTGTCCTATTCTTACAACTTAGTTCGATGACTTACAACTTAGTCAAATCCTGCTGTTAGTTCACTATACGATTGTTGGTGATACTTATTTTCTGTTGGTTGAACAAGTTTCAGCTAGGATTGAATTATGTACTAACGTTACACACTCCCCCTCTGTTGCAAGTAACTTGCATTTAAGGTCGATACTTTACGGGTCATTTTTGTTTCCTTTCTTTGGTACTAATAGGAGGATTAGAGAGCGCTCTTATACTTCAGCCATCTATATAATAGTGAGTGCATCACCACTTTTCGCCCTAATCTGTTCTAACAGTTGATTGGAATAGCAGCTGAGCTCTTTGGATCAACTAGTCAAGTTAACCCAGTGAATGCGAGATCAAGGCTCCTTTACAAAGTGACTACACACCAAGACGCAGGCACCGAGAAGACGGAACGAGATAACATCTAGTATATTTTCCAGACAGTAGCGACCAACAACCGTAGTGAAAAGTTTAACTTGCTTACAACCCATTTCTTTATTACGCCACGTATCCTATTTTCTTTTACACCGTACCTTGATTCCTTGATTAATTAACTCAGGGAAAGATGCGATCGTATACATTTTTGTGGTCCTTCGAGCTGAATAGCGAGTTAATTGAGTTGGGTTTGTGCAGTGGCTTAGTGAATTAGTGAAGTGAATTGAACGGTGCAATGATTTATTGAAACAGTGGAAGAAGAAAACCGGATCAATTATGGCGCAGCCGTGAGATACTCTCCTTGATCAGTTGTAAACGGGTAACCACATTCTTAATGTGATCTCCAACATTGATAAGCGAGGCAAGGCCTCTTAAACCTTTGAGAACCTCTTAAATCGTCTCCAACTATTGGAGAGTTATAGGTCGACGTTTTCTCGTAAGTACGGCAGGGTCTGTCAAGATAACGCGGCCCTTTTGGACACTCACGAATATTTTATCTCAGATCTTTATTATTAGTATGAGAATGCATACGTGAATGCCAAAAACCGAGCGATTGACCTTGCGATTGACTCACCTTTCCAGCACTGTTGAGGGAGGGCTGAGCTCTCCAGGAATATTTACAGTACAGGTCTTACCGTAACCTCCTCACCTGCCTGCCTTGAAATTACCGATTTTCAACGGCGAGCAACGGAATTGGAAGTCGTTCAAGGAGCTCTTCAGCTCCATGGTGAAAGACGTTGCACACATAGCTATGTGCAAAAACTGCAACGTCTAATGACTTGCTTAAAAGGTAGCGCAGCAGTGTAGAATAATGGAAATTTCAGTGCGGAGTGTAGTCGATCTCCCTGCCAGGTTTGTCAAGAGCAGCATGGAAACAACGGTGGAAGAGGCCATGGAGCCAACAAATGTTCATTCTCCTTCCACTGCAAGGTAACAGGCAGCGGAACACGGTATCATACTCTGCTGTATCAGGAAGCCGTCCCATTCAAGACGGCCTGTGCAGCTCAGGAGATACTCTCAGAGCTCTCATTACTGAATGCCCTCCATTCACGCTCACACTTCGAAGGAACAGTACTGCTGGCTACTGTCCAAATGATTATCCATTCAGAACACGCCAGCATTGAAGTACGAGCGGTGCTGGATCAGGGTTCCGAGACAACTGTCCTTTCCGAACGGGTAGTCCAAGTCCTCAAGCGGTCAACACGAGCCTCCATCAGTGGTGTAGGTGTCGATTCTATCTTCCGACCCTCAAATGGGGTGGATGCCATGCTGATATCTACCGTTATGCCTTTTCGTATACATCTTTCGGCATTAGTCTTACCAAAGATCATCTCGCTACTTCCTAGTAGATTAGTTACGAGGAAAACCTGGTTTCACTTGGTTTCACTTACCCCTAGCGGATTCGAAATATTATGTGAAAGGCCCAGTCTACTGCCTTCTAGGTACTGATGTTTACCTTACTCTTCTGCTGAGTGACTTGAGGAAGGGCCTACCAAGTGAACCCATAACTCAAAGGACAGCCTTTGGATGGATACTCAGTGAAGCCATCTCCTTTCTCAACTCCGACTCACGATCTTCTCTACGATACTATTAGGTTGGTGCGTATGAAATGTCGGATTCTTAAGTGATTGTATAAAACTGCATATTTTTCTTCAAAAGCTGTTTATTCAATCAAAGTATGCTCCATTCGCTTCAATATACTTCTCCCAACGAGATTTTAAAGCGTAGATGTCTGTCTTAAAAAAATTTTGGTCTTTAGAATTAATAAACTCTGATATCGAGTTTTTTAGACTGTCTTCATTTTCATAGTGTTTGCCCCTTAAAAATAGCTCTAAATGCTTGAAAAAATGAAAATCGGTCGGCGAGAGATCCGGTGAATATGGTGGATGCTGCAAAACTTCATATTCCAGTTCGTTCAGTTTCGCAATTGTTTTGTGCGATGTATGCGGCCGAGCGTTGTCATGGAGCAGTAGCGGGCCATGCCGATTCACAAGCGATGGGCGTACAATTTTTAACTTATCGTGCATCTCATCAATGTACTGGCAGTACTTTTCGGCCGTAATTGTCTCCCTAGGTCGAAGGAACGAATAATGGATTACCCCAGCCGCGTTCCACCAAATTATGAACAACATCTTCCGTGGATGAAGCGATGGCCTTGGAGTATGGGCATAAACCTCATCCTTGTTAAGCCACCGAGCACACCTCTTTCTACTGTCATAAAGAACCCATTTTTCGTCACACGTAATGATCCGATCAAAAATGGCTCTCGGTGAAATCGGGTTAGCAATGATGAGCATACGTTTAACCGATCCAGCTTATTTCGCTCTGTCAGAGCGTGCGGTACCCACTTGTCCATCTTCTTAACCTTGCCAATCTCAGAAAGGTGTCTCAATATCGTTGTATAGTCAACTTTCATCCTGATAGCAAGTTCCCTCGTGGATACGGCTGGATCCGCTTCCACTAGAGCCTTCAGGTCATCATTCTTCACAGACGTTTTGGGTCTTCCGCGCGGCTCATTTTGCAGTGAAAAATCGCCAGTCCGAAATTTTTCGAACCAACGCTGCACTTTCCGATCGTTAACTGTATTCTCCCCAAACGCTTGGTTTATGTTGCGTGCAGCTTTTGCAGCACTATTACCAAGTTTGTACTCATATAAGA